CCATTAGTCACACTGAAATTCCTTCCTCATTATAATACACAGGCTAACACAAGATATAATCAAACTCCTATTCCCTTGAAAGAGAAATGATGGTTAATATAAAAGACATACATTTGATTTATGTCAAGTGGTAACACAAGTAATGCTTTGGATACTCAGCATAAAACATTTTAATGGAATACTGCTCCAAATACACCATACCAAAATTAAACTGAAAATAGAAAAAAGCTACTAAATCATGGCTGACAGCTAAGTGCAGCAAGTTAAAATGCATTCCTAACTCTCATCCAGTTCTGGCTTAACCCCTTGGATCAGTTAGGTCATTACTTGTTTGGAATACTTCCAAATGATTCTCTTGAATTCTATTGTTATATTTAGCGGCTACAGGAAATTCAGAGCAAGACTCACATCATAAAAATCACAGGATCAGGCCGGGGAGATGGCTCAGTAGAATAAGTGCTTCCCTGTCAAGCCCAAAGGTCTGAGTTCAATCCCCCGTTCCTCCCCCACCCCAAAAAAAATCACAGGATTGCTAGCTTTCACCTGGTATGATCTTTCCATAAAACAACTTTGAGCAAGGTTATCTAATTGCTTTGCTACACAAATGATAACCCTACAGGATTTTCTAGTCCTAGGTAGACATTTTAACTTGGTTTACATATATATTCTACATATTGACCTCACCTCTTTTTTTTTTTTTTTTAAGCAAACATGTTCCTACTTTTCCCTTCCCTTAAATCTCTTTTCCCCCTTTATTTCGTTAATTTCTATTAATGTTTCAGATAATTATAACTTGTCTCCCTCAGGCTTCTCTGCCACAGTCATCCTGAATACAAGCTTTATCAGGAATAGTGCCAGTGTATAGGAGACACTTGTAATAGATCCTCCAATCGTTCTATACATTTTATGGATGCCAGGAAAGACCCTGTACAATATTCTAAAGCAGAATTCCAAGAAACATAGTACAAAGGAAGAAATACTATAGAAACTTTCAGATTTCACAAGAACATTTCTCAGTCAAAGCCCCTAACTTCTTTTTCCTTGCCATAATTGCCATTAATTAACTCAGATCTTCTCCCACATTCTTTGCCTTTTAGACAGATACCTAACAGTAAATTGTCACAGGGTGGGGAGGTCAATATCTAAGCCAAATCAAATCAGATAAAGGAATGCACCCAAGTCTTTCTATCCCTCTCTGACATTTTTAACTACAAATGAGACATTTTCTTTTCCACAGCTAACCTGGAAAGGAGCCCCTTAAAACAAAAACAAAAACAAAAACCCTATCTACAAAGAGCCTGAAAAACCAGATAAAATCATTTTAAAGCACATCTCCCATATAAAAAATGATTCATCTCAGCTTACACTAAAATGATACACAAAGCACAGAAGGCACTTCAAAGACAGAGTTAATAAACTGAATTTACAAATAGATCCAACGCTCCCTCTTCCCCCAAGTACTAGGAGCCGTTCAATGTTCCTGGATAGTAGTGGAAGCATTTAAACTGTTGGCTCTTTTAGGGAAGATACATAATTTAGCAGGGACGTGAACAATCCATGTATATCCATTAGCAGTGCCATGTCACTTTGCTTGTAGCCCTCTGTATGCATGTTTCTAGATGCTCTGGGTGAGGTTTTGCTTTAAAAGTTAAATAAACTGGGGTGTAGATCACTGGTGCCCAGCATCACAAGAAAATAAAATAAATAAAAGGTAAAGAGCAAACAACAAACTTTTGTTTCTTTAGTGGCTTGGTTTTTGTTTTGTTTTCTTTTGGGTTGTTTCAGTTTGTCTGTTTTGAGATAGGGTCTGCTTCGGCCTCCCAAGTGCTAGGATTTGTTTTTTCCTCAATGGAGTATTTCATGCATTTGCTTGCCCTTGCACGGGGCCAGTGCCACTCTTCTCTCTTGTCATTCCAATTTTAGCACAGGGACTGCAGAAGTCATCACCTCTTACGTTTTCAATGTCAACACCGGTGACTTTGCCCCCTCACACACACATTCAACCGTCACAGAAATCAGCCAAAACTTGAAACCAAGCAAAAGAAACAGCTTTTCAGTGCACTACTCTGCTCGAACCTTCAATTACTTCCTACTGACTAGGCTAGTTCACAAGTCTGTAAGATTGATTTATAATAATTTTGGCTGGCAGACACACAAATAATTTCTATCTAGTGGAAAAGATAACCTAAAGCTCAATCTGTATGCTCTTTAAAGAATTAATCCTGTATCTATAACCTTAACCTTTCTTCATTAAATGGTCTATAAATACACAAATGTAAATACGAGTGCCTTTGATATACTTCTAAATCCCTCATTAAATGAGTTGAAGGAGCCAGGGTGACAGCTCAGCAGCATGGTGCCTGCCCAACAAGCATGAGTCCTGACATTGACTCCCAGTTCCATAAATAAATAAATAGCTAAATAAATTAGTTGAAATTACTGACACACAATGACCTCATTAACATTTACACCAAGTCATGGTCTTATCTTTCTGGAAAATTTACTCTAGCAGTTTTGAAGGTTCTGCCACCATGGGGAAGTAGACTAGCCTGTCAAAGCCAACTAGGGGCCAGGGAGATGGCTCAGTGGAATAAGTGCTTCCCTGGCAAGCGCAAGGGCCTGAGTTCAATCCCTGGTTCCGCAAAAAAAAAAGAAAAAAAAAAAGCCAACTAAGCTACACTGCTCCTTTCACACATATGTGGATACCTCTAAAAAAGAAATATGAGCCCAGAACTGCTATTTTATTTTCATAAATCAAAACTTCTAAGAATTTTTGGTCTACCAGTGATGTCAAACCTTTTAGACACTAAATGCCCGGCTGCAATCCAAAACCCACCTATTTATCACAAAGTGCCACACTGCAATTTAACCTGAATACTGAGGTTTTAGTTTAGAAAAAAATAACTCTATGTTAACATCTTTTGTCTTCAAAGAAAAACAATACCACCACTGGTCTAGATGGTAAATATCATTTAAAGCAGGAGCCTTTACTTATTTTTCTTTAATTCATCTTTATATTCTTAAGGGCCAGCACAGTACCATGAACTAAAATGTATTCAATAGATGTTAAATGAGTGCAGAAAGCTAGCATGCATCATCTGTCCAATGGCAACACCAACTGGAGGACAGAAATACTACAGTCAAATCCTAGCAGTCTTTGTAACTTGATCATCGGCTGGAAGAGGGAGGTCAAGTTCTAAACACCTTTTTTTTTTTCGTTCATTGCTGGGGATCAAACCCAGAGCCTCACATATGCTAGGCAAGAGTTCTACTACTAAGCTGTATCTCTAACCCTAGACATTTTGATGTAGTTGCCTCAGAAATGGCATAAATTTGAGTTGTACCAAGATGTAGCTTTCAATGACAGGCTGCAGCAAACATCCCACAGGTTCGCCCCCACTGAGAATTTAAAACTTCCTGCAGAGTGACTTTTGAGCACCTAGTGCTGTAACTTTTATCAGGCACTACAATCCCACATGTGGCAATGTTGCAAATATCACAAAACTGGATATGGTACAAATTGCTTTCACCAAAATTTTTCCCAAAATATATAAAAAGTTGTCCACGTGATTGTACCTCAATTCTACAACAGCCCGGCAATAAATTAATACAAATGGCTTTTTAAGTTCACCAAAAAGACCTGATTTTCTGACATGCATTTATTTCATAAGCAAAGGATGTACCACAACTGTAGAATACAGTACAGTCCTCATGAGACACCTGACAAGCACAGTGGATGAATGCAAAGGAGGACCACAGCGAGGGAGCAGGCCTGGATGCTACTCCTGGTTTTGTTTCTCACCTACCCTACAAAACCAAATCTGTACCTCTATCTGAGTGGCTTATTAGAGTCAAAGCTACCTATACTTAAACACTACTTGCTACCAGAGAGAATAGTGGGCACATCGTAATGATACCACATTATTAACAACACTGGTACAGGCCTACCTGGTCACTGCACTCACACTTCTGTGTGGCAGAAAGGCTAATTACTATCTAAGCATTTTCCCCTTCACTTTTAATTCAGGTCAGAGTTCTTATCACCACTGGGCACTTTCCATTTTGTTCTCTCTTCTTGGAGGATCGGGCTACACACGAAAAGAAGGTCGATTTAATACTCTGGAGGCTGGTACACCAGTGAAATGACAGTTAATTTCATCAAGAGCTTTAAAAAGACACGACTTGGTGCTTGTCCCAAGGGAAGCAATACCTTCTTGTAAGAATTATGAAAGTAGAAAATCTGAAATTCTGAACGCACGAGGAAAGGTGTGAACTTTTAAAAAGACACTGCTGTATTAAGAATTATTTCCCAAATGCAGTCTTTCAAATTAATGGCTTTGTTCTTTACTATTTTAAAATTTATTCTCGGTTATTTTGCACAAAACACAGAAGAGACTAAGTTAGGATCAATGGCGAAGGTCTGATAGCTAATCTTGAACCCACATAGTCTTTTTTTTTTGCGGAACCGGGGATTGAACTCAGGCCCTTGAGCTTGCCAGGCAAGCGCTTATTCTACAGAGCCATCTCCCCGGCCCCTCACATACAGTCTTTAAATTTATCTTGACTTTATAAAAATGACCTATTTCAAAAATGACAATATAATTATTCCCTAAATCCAGGGAGGCAAGCAGATACCACAGACAGGACAGATGCGCTCTAGCAATGCACTCAAATTTAGAAGGCCTGTTTTGTATGAGCTGCACCTTCTTTGTTCCTTAAAGTGATTCCAAGCTCCAAATCGAACCCGGGGAAGGAGAAACTGACCAAATTACGTAAGGAAATCTCTCGTATCCAGATAAAAGACATCTTTTGCAGGAAGAGGGGAGGCGCTTTAGACTTACCTCAAGCACTGAAAAATGAGTAGTATGAGTCACTGACATTTCACACATGTGAAACACATCCATATTACCAAAAAGCACTGCCTTATGCGTGAGCGCTCAACCTTGACAAGCAAACTGTCGCGAGGGCGCGAGGGGGAGGGGTTCTTCCAAATAACTTACTTGAGAAGTAATTCCCCAACCTGAAAATGGACTTTTCTTTTAGATACTGCTTAGCATCTGCGGAACTTTCTCTTGCCCGAATCCAGACTAAGGACAACAAATTGGTCAACAGCGGAAGTTGCCCGAGAGCAACATGAAATCCAGTTTTATGATCATAACAAAACCTTCCTTCCGGGACCGGGCCAAAAAACCCCAACTTGAGCAAACGTCGTCCTCCAGGATGCAACAGGCAATGGCGAGGCCCCCGCGGCCGGCCGAGGCGCAGCGCTGGGCCGGAGCCCGAGCGCGGGCGGGCCGGGCTGCTCCC